TTCTTTAATATTTGGATGGAATATTCTATAGATGTCTGTTAAGTCCATTTGAATCATAACATCAGTTACTTCCCTTATTTCTCTTTTAATTTTTTTGTCTGACTGACCTGCCCAGTGGTGAGAATGGAGTGTTGAAGCCTCTCACTATTAATGTGTGGGGTTTAATGTATGATTTAAGCTTCAGAAGTATTTCTTTTACATATGAGTGAGCCCTTGTATTTGGGGCATAGATGTTCAGTATTGAGATTTTCTCTTAATGGATTTTTCCTGTGACTAATATGAAATGTCCTTCTTTGTTGGTTTTGATTTATTTTAGTTTGAAGTCTGTTTTATTAGATATTAAGGTAGCTACACCAGTTTGTTTATTAGGTCCTTTTGATTGGAAAAAATTTTCCTGACCCTTTACTCTGAGTGATGTCTGTTTTTGAGGTTGAGGTGTGTTTCCTATATGCAGCAGAAGGATGGATTCTATTTTCGTATCCAATCTGTTAGCCTTTGCCTTTTTATAAGTGAGTTGAGACCATTTATATTAAGGGATATTAATGACCAGTGATTGCTATCTCCTGTTAATTTGGTTTTCATTGTAGGTGATGTTAATTTTTGTGTTTTTCCCTTCTTTGGAATTTACTGCTGTTAGATCATCAATTGTCTGTGTTTTTGTGAGGTAGCCAACTTACTTGGATTGGAGTTTTCCTTCTATTACTTTGTGTAGGACGGCGTTTGTGGCTAGGTATTGGTTACATCTGGTTTGATCATGGAATATCTTGTTTTGTCCTACTCTGGTGATTGAAAGTTTTGCTGGGTTTAGTAGTCTGTGCTGCTATTCATGGTCTCTTAATGTCTGCATAATGCCTGACCATGACGTTCTGGCTTTCATTTTTTTCAAGGAGAAGTTAGGTGTAATTCTGATAGGTTTGTCTTTATATGCTACTTAGCCTTATTCCTTTGCAGTTCTTAATATTCTTTCTTTATTCTATATGTTTAGTGTTTTGATTATTATGTGTCGAGAGGTTTTTTTTTTTGATCCAGTATATTTGGTGTTCTATAAGCTTCTTGTGTCTACATAGACATATATTTCTTTAGGTTGGAAAAGTTTTCTCCTATGATTTTGTTAAATATATTTCTGTGCTTTTGAATTGAACTTCTCTTTCTTCTATACCTATTATTCATACGTTTGGTCTTTTCATGGTGTCCCATATATCCTGGATATTTTGTGTTAAGCTTTCATTAGATTTAAAGTTTTCTTTGACTGATGAGTTTATTTCCGCTATTATATCTTCAGTACTTGAGATTATCTCTTCTTTCTCTTGTATTCTGTTGTTTATGTTTGTACTTGTGGTTCCTAATCATTTTCTCATGATTTCTGTTCTTATAATTCCCTCGACGTATGTTTTCTTTATTGTCTCTATTTTAGTTTTTAAGTCTTAAAGAGTTTCTTTCATATGTTTGATTGCTTTTTCTTGTTTTTCTTTAAGAGGTTTGTTGATGTCTTACAATTTTTTTGTTTGTTTTTTTTTCTCCAATTCTTTGCGGGAATTTCTCATTTCCTCTATAAGAGTCTCAAACATTTTTCTGAAGTAATGTTTTAGGTCATTTTCTTCTGCTTCATCTATATTTGGTTGTTCAAGTCTTACTGTTGTAGGGTTACTAGTTTTTACTGGTGTCATGTTGCTCTCTGTGGTTTTGCATGTATTCTTATCTTGTCTACTCATCTTTTCTTCTAGTTGGTGTTGTTGGAGCTGTCTGTGACTCTGATGATTAATCTTCTAGGTGACAGTGGATTCAAGGCTCAGATGGTTGTTCCTCATGGTACAGTCAGTGCCTAAGTTCTAGTTACCTCTTGGTCATTTCTTGTCCCTGGAGGTCGCTCAGTGCTCCCAGGGTTTGCTCCATTCTCATGAAGTTTACTGTCTTAAGTTTGCTCTGGCCTAGGTTGCTGGCTCAGACCTGTTTCCCTAAATGTCCCTGGTCTGGATCAGCTCCTGTGAAGGTCTCTGGCTTGGGGTTGGTCCTGCAAAGGTCTCTGGCTCTGAAATACTCCCTCTGGGGTTCCAGACTTGGGTTTGCGAGACCTGCAGATGCCCTGCTCAGGCCTACATCCTCAGAGATCTCAGACTCATGCCTGGACCAGCAAAGGTCCTGGCTTGTGCCTAGTTCCTCAGTGGTTCCGGACTCATGCTTGGACCTGCAGGAGTCCTGGCTCAGGTCTACTCCCATGAAGGTCCCAGATTCATACCCAGACCTACAGCAGTCTCTGGCTGTGGCCCATTTGCTCAGCAGTTACTCCCCTGTACCTGCTCCTGTGGAGTTTGCTATCTCAGATCTGCTCTGGCCCAGGTCCCTGGCTCACTCCTGCCTCTGTAAATGTTCCTTGTTTGGATCCTCTCCCACTCCCATGAAGCTTGCCACCTCAGGCCTGCACGGGCCTAGGTCACTGGCCTAGTCCTGCTTCTACAAAAAGGGACCTCTGATTCTTATGAGTCTGCTTGTTCCAGAGAAATAGGTGTACATTGTTTTGGACCTCTACCTCAGTTCAAAATGTCAATCCTACCTCCAGGAATCCTCAGTATTAGACATGGAACTTTTCCTGCTAGGGATACAGAAGAAGGTGTGAAACAGACCTCAAGGCCTCATGACAAGGGAGAAAGAGTGATTGGCAGATAAGTAACACCCAAGGCAATGTGATAAATAAAATGCAGGTTTCCTGTCCATCTGATATAACTGAGGTGTTCAAATCAGAAGTCATCTACCTCAGTCTGAAACGGCAATCCTGCCTTCAGGAATCTCAGGAAGAAAATGTTACCAGTATCTCTTTATATTGCTAAGAAAACTCAGCCAAAGCTTGAAATTTTATAAATTTTATTTTTAATTGTATCAGAATTTATATGGTTAAACATTCAAAGATCATGATACCAACTTCCAGCAAGTACTCTTTAGTGAGTAAACTCTCCAGCTGCCAGGTTTGCTTTATAGCAACACATGTTCATAGAAGTAAGCTAGACCCACAAATCAGACTTACTCATAAATTGGTATTGGCATCTCAGATTCTGGAATCTCTATGATAAAAGAACTTTTCATTGAGCCTCAATTCTTAAGGATCTACCATTATTCAGTAAATCTATATCTAGTACTATCTTTCAGGCCACAAACCTTCAGGAAAAAAATTGTGCTACCCCTAAACCACTAAAAATAATACACCCAATATAGTTAGCTGATTAAAATAAAATGCCCAACTCTATTTGAATCTTAGATGAGTAGTAAAATATTGTCATTGTTCATTTATCATATTAGCAAGGCCTTTTATTCTAAACTTAGTCTGTCATTCTTCATTTATGATGATGAATTCATATTCATCATAAATGTATACCTATAAATATTGAATTATTTTATCTAAAATGAAGACTTACCTTCTGTACTTTGATTTTCTAGATCGGTTAATACAACCAATAAAATACTTCCAATTTTAACTAAATTTTTAAAATTTATTTAATTATTTATTTATTGAAGATTTCCGGCTTCATCCCGCCACTGCCTTCCTTTTCCCTCCCCCTCCCCC